AATTGTTTGCGTTGCTTTATGTGTATGTGTGTGTGTGTGTATATATATGTATATATATGTGGAATATATATATATTTTATATATGTATAAATATATACATATTTATATATTTATAAATAAAATCTGGGTCTTTGTTTTTTGATTTATCAGTGTGAAGAAATAACATTCTAAAGAAAAGTTTGATATGTTTGAAGTAGAATTGAGGGAGTTGTTGGGGTTTTTTGCATCAATAGCACTGGTCACTTTGAACAAATAAAAGCTTTCTGTAGTCGTTTCCTTTATCAGAAAAGAATATATGAGACCATGGCATATTATCCCCTGCGTTAGAGAACACCTTTTCTAAATGTTGGGGGAAATCTTCATAGTTGTTACTCAGTCAGAATTTGTGTTTAACTCCTATATGCCTAAGGACCATTCTGGGTTTTTTGTTTATTTAGGGCCTTTTTGTGTGTATACTTTTAAAAGTACATACATAAATGGTTTTCTTTTCATTATTTTTGAAACATTCACCAAAACAAAAGCAGCATTTTATAACCATGGATAAGCCCATGTTTCTGGGATGCTATCATTTTCAGCAACTTAAGAGATAAATCACTTAAAGTTACATTGAAATTTTTCCTGAAGCTTTAACCTTTCAAATTTTGTAATTAATTGGACAATTTAAATATAATGTAAAGAGTTTAAATTGGACAATTTAAAAGCTGCCATATCAGAATCCATATCTCTAGTTACAGTCATATAAATGCAAGTTTATTTGCAAGATCCCTGAAAGGAAAATTTTAATCAGCACCATCAACCTCCCCACCCAAAGGGCAAAACTAGACAAGTTTTGGTGTACTTTAATTAGGTAAGCAAAACTTAGTTAAATGGACATTTAAAGGTTCCTTTTAGTGAACTATTTCTTTTCAAGAAGTTGAAAATCCTTGTGCTGTATTGACTAAAAGGTCATGATTCGTGGAGTGTCTAAGACTTTGTTCATGGAAACCTAATCATAACCAGGTGGTTAGAAATGTTGGCAATTTAGCACCTGCTGGAATAAATGGGTGGACAGACTTCTATAACCCAAATTCTTGACCTGCATGTTTTTTCTTCGCCCCAACTCATTCCTGACACGTAGGTTCAATCTTCTCAGTATTTGAATTACTGGTTAAGCAGAAACCAGGAAAAACAATAACTTTGTAGTCAGGATGTTATCCAACTGTATATTGTTTACTTTATTGTAAATACTGGTAAATAGTGGTCAATAAATAGTTTTATATTCCTTTAAGTGAAAACAAAAAAAAGGTTGCTTTCTGGAAGTGGGAACCTCTGTGTGCACTGACCTGTCACCCTTCTCTCAAAGTCTCTAAATTTAGGGACTAAAGCTTTGTGGGCGGAGGTGGGGGGAGGGCAGTAACCATCCATTGTTCAAACCCTCAGGCCGGCCATCCTGTGCCCGGTCTGCCATAAAATGTTACAGACAGCCCTGTTTACCGAATGACTGTGTTCTGGCAAGTTGACAGTTTTTATAAATGAGACCTTTGCCCCCAGAACGTGAATATGTCAAAGATGCCTGCAAATGATCCATTTTACAAAGAACCGTATCTGATGTTTTCAATAAGTTCGTATCATTGAGAGTCAATTGGGTTCTCTTAAAATGAACATCTGTTGTGACAAATCTCCTGCTCTGAGAACAGGACAGTTTTGCCGAGTACATTTATTCAGGATCGTCAGATGATCGATGCTTTCGAGGGAATTTAATTAGAAAAATGCCATCTTGTTAAGGAATTTGCGAGTGAACGAAATCGTCCCCAATTTGAGTCCTAGAAAGTACCATGTGTTCACATTGATTTTAGAGTCTCCGTCTCATGCCAGGTCTTTTTTTGCCTTCATCTCCAGATTCCATTGGCCAGAGGGGACAGGCATTGCCTCCCTGCCAGGGCGCCCACTGCTGCTGCCTCCTCCCTTCCGCCCCTTTTCTCCTAGTGAGTCTGGGGTCAGCTCGGGGGTCAGCCTTTCCAGCGGAAGAGCTGGCATTCCTGAGCCGCGTCTTGCCCGATGATCAAGTGTGTAGCTGACTGGAACAGTCGTGCTTGTTTCTGAATGCGGTGTCCTCAGGTCTGCGGCTGCTGGAGCCTCAGGTGCCCTCTGGCCTCGGGTTTTGAGCTAGGAGGGCAAAAATCCCCTCTCGGGTAGAAGGGACCCAGGTGCTGTCGGTCTGCGGCCCTGGGAGACGGAGCGCCTCGCTAGGCCTTGGTGTGCGGGAGTGGACTGCGTGTGGCCCCCTCGCCGCTGCTGCTGGGTGCGCTCTCCTCTCCGAAGGAGGTTGCTCACCGGAGGCTCGGCTCGTCCGGTTGTAAGGGAGAGGGGAGGGCCGGGAACCCAGCCCCAACGCCAGGCCCGCCCGGCGGCGCTCTCCTCTGCTGCCCAGCTGCCCCGGCTGCGGCCTTCCGTCGAGCGCCGGCCCCAGTTTTAGTGCCAGGCTGTCCGTTCCGATGTGCCGCGCTGCCGAGATTCGCTGAGCTGCACCGACACCGTGGAGCTTGTTTGCCAAACAGGAGCTCGTGGAGTGTCCGTGTCGGACCCATCAGCCGCCCAGGCGCCAGTCTGTCCCTCGCAGGGCGTCCTGCGTGGCGCTGGTCGTGTGCCTGGCTGCCCTGTGTGTGCTGGTCCCCTCCTTTGTTTGTCCTCCAGTCGCTGCGGGCCCCTGAGGTGGGGGGGGTGACCCCTACCTGGAGGAGGGTGGCAGAGGAGCAGCAGTGGGGGGGGACAGCCTGGCACATTTGCTCACGGTCCTGCCACTTTCCTCACTTTCCCGGCCCAGGCCGTCCCTGGGCCCGAGGCGGAGGTGACGGTACTGCGTCCCGGGACCGTGTGAGGGGCGCTCCTTGTTTCCCAGAGGAACTGCCCTCTGTCCGGGAGATCAGGCTCACGTTCTTGTGCTTGTGCGGCTCCTGGGGGTTGAGCTGTGGCCAGGCTGGCAGGCTGCCGTGGGTCCAGCTGGCTGTCCGCGGTGGGTCTGAGGGGGACGCAGGGACGGGAGTGCATGTGGAAGGCGGGGCCTGTGAGCCCTGTGCTCCCGTGGGCTCCCCCCTGGGCTCCCCTGGGCTCCTCCCTGGGCTCCCATGGGCTCCCCTGGGCGTGAGGCCCCGGAGGCGCCGTGGGCGCTGTGTCTGCTCTGGCCGCGGCGCCCTGCCTCCCTGTGTGCTTTGCCTCTTCGGACTGCGCCGAGTCGGGACGGCGGTGCTTCGTGTCACCGCGTGTCACTTGTCCCTATGCTCGGCGCCCCGCTGCTGGGGTGGCGTGACCTGTAGACGCAGGTCCTGGTGACGGCCGCGGCTGCTCTGAGCGCACCTCGGGGACCAGAGGGCGCCCGGCGGCGTGGGGGTGCGCCCATCGCTCCGTCACCTGGGTCACCTGGGGCCTCTTCCTAAGTTCCTCGGCGGCGTTTGCACTTTGCCTCCTGTGAGGGCCTAGTCCTGCGTTTCCCCCATTTTCATGCCGAGGTGTCCCCCTGACTAGTAGCAGCACCCGGTCTATTCTGGGAGCTAGAAGACTGGAAGTCTGAGGCTGCATTTAAAAACCAAAATTGGTAAAAAAAAATAATAAATAAAAACAAAATTGGGGACGCCTGGTGGCTCAGCGGCTGTGTGTCTGCCTCCGGCTCAGGTCCTGCTCCCGGGATCGAGTCCCGCGTTGGGCTCCCTGCAAGGAGCCTGCTTCTCCCTCCGCCCGGGCCTCTGCCTCTCTCCCTGTGTCTCCCATGAATAAATCCATACAATCTTTAAAAAACAAAAACAGAATTGTCCCAGGCGGGCAGCAGGAACAGAGCTACAGCATCGCTCTCGCTCCCTCCCTCCTCATCAGTATCATACATGCTCCTTCCTGTGGTGTCACCGTCCCACCAGAGCCCCTTCCTGTCCTTTTCTCCACTGAAGCTTGTCATCCTGGCCTGGGATTGTCCCCAAAATGTATGACTGTCCTTTCTCCTAGATGATGACACAAGTGGCATATAGCAGAGGACCCGCTTGTAACTCAACCCCTCTTTCCACCAGCCCCATCAAGCATCATGACCTGGGGGTGGGGAGGCATAGTCATTGATGTGAGGGCCTCGTGAGAGCATTTTTGAGTATTCTCTTTCCTTCCATGCTGTTTTTGTTTTATCCTCGGCTGACTTCCCCAGAACCTGCTGCTGCCAGCGGGCCACTCACTGCTCAGAGTCTCACTGGGCTGTTCCCCTGAGCACTCAAGACCCCCTAGAATCTGATCCACTTTTCTTGCTTTCTTGACATTCTTGATTCAGAATCTTGACTGGTTACAGAGATTCCAAACTCCATAAGGACAGGAATGATTTGATATGCCCTTGACTCCATCAGCAATTGCTAGATCTTGTTGATTGAAATTTATGCCTTTAAGGGAAGAGGCTGGACTGGATCATAATTCTGATCGATGCATGTGTGTTGAGCTATATTCTGGTTCTCTTACCATGGGGAGAAAACAACCAAAAAAACAAAACAATAAAACAAAAATATAGTGGCTCCTGAATCTACTGGACTTGGCAGGCATGGCTCACGTCTGCTCACCTGCTTTACCTGGTGTAGCCAGACTGTGTGGGGATCCGTTACCAGGATGGTGCGCACACCTGCTTGCCGGATGGCTGCTGGCTGGCTGCGCAGCGCTCACCTGGACTGCGAACCACACCCGGGCCTAGGTTCTCCTCCCCGTGAGTGTATCACTGCAGGGCTGCTTGGGCTGCCTCCCGCTGTGGCGGCTGGGTTCCAAGCATGAATGTTCCAGGGAGAAGCACAAGTTGCCTGTCTCAGGACTTGGCCCAGACGCTGGCCTGTCATCATCTCTTGTGTGTTCTATTGGTCAAAGCCGTCACAGAGCCTGGGTGGATTCAGAGAGGTGGGAGAGGATGCACAACCGCCTCCCTGTCCGTGGGAGGGTCATGTGAGAATTTGTGGCCACCATTAGCCACCCCACACTAATGGACTCCCCTCCCTGTGGCCTTCCCCCAGCCCTGACAGCCGCTGCCGGAAGAGGCAAGCTGGAGGTGTGCGAGCTGCTGCTGGAGCACGGAGCCGCTGTGTCCCGGACCAACAGGAGAGGGGTCCCACCTCTGTTCTGTGCAGCACGCCAGGGGCATTGGCAGGTACTGGGTGAGCCCCGGAAGGCCTCGGAAACGATGAGTGGGATAGAGTTCACTATTGCCCATCTGCCCTGGGGCCAGTGCGGCTCCTCTGAGCCCTGGCTTTTCCTTGTACTTGGCTTCTGCTTGTGCCGTCAGTTCTGCTCCATAACCACAAACGTCTGACAGGCAAGCACAGCCTGCCGTTGTAGGCTGGTAACTGGGAGCAAGGCTGGGGGCCGTCAGAGGCCGAGACCTGCTTCCTTGTACCCAGCGAGGGAAGTGGAGCGGGGGGGCCCTGTCATGGTAACAGAAGACTTGCTGTGACACACCTGTTGTCGTGATTGTGTGACCCATTTGTCCAGCGTACTGGGAGGAAGAGTGTGTCTGTTGTGCTCTCTAGAAAAGGAAACCTTGGGGACACCTTGGTGGTACAATTGCTTAGGTGTCCAGTGGGTTTCAGTTTAGGTCATGATCTCAAGGTCATGGGATTTGAGCCTCATGTTGGGTTCTGTGCTTGAGACTCTCACCCCCGCCCTCTACCCCCTCCCCCCACTGCCCTCATGTGTACATGACACTCTTCCTCCCTCAAATAAATCTTAAAAAGAAAAAAGAAAACATTTTCTCTCTTCTCCAACCCTGTGATTCAGGCTGGTTTGTTTGTTTCTTTCTCTCCTTCTAGACATATTTATTAGAGCACAGCATGAGGGGCAGAGGGGGACAGAGACTTTCAAGCAGACTCCCTGCTGCGTGCAGAGCCCAATGTGTGGCTCGATCCCAGGACCCTGAGATCACAACCTGAGCCAAAACCAAGAGTTGGATGCTTAACCGACTGAGCCACCCAGGCGCCCCATCTGGCTGGTTTCTTTTACTAGGGAGTTACCTGTTGTTGCCTTAATTCAAGGGAACAGGGGATCCTTGAGACTTCAGACATTCATTCATTTTGTGAACAGTGGCCATGGACTCTACGCCATGCCTGGCATCAGGTTCCACACAAGCTACAAACAAAAAACGGATCTTACCACATCTATCATAGGAAGAATTTTCTAGACCCAATTTTACATCATGGAATCACGTGACTCCCTCTTGCTAGTCCCATTGTTAGGAGCTACAAGCGCTCACCACGAAGATTTTGGCTTTTCAGTTCCATTTCCATGAGCTTGGTTTCTGCCATCTGCTCCCTGTGACCCTCACACCGTATGATGCCCTTGCTAATCCTCTCTCCTGGTCTCAATATTCCTAAGTCATGGTGAGGTTTGGAAAGCTTTTGTCAGTGTATCAAGAACAAGAAAGCAATGGGAATATGCCACCTTTAGTTGTTGAGGCCATGTACCAAACACCGTGCCAGAGGGCTGGAGACTGTGGCCCACCCCCTACATAAAGCCCCTCACACTGGGAAGGTAGTCGTATGAGGCGCCTCTCTGGCTCTTTGATTTTGTTTGCCAGCCTTTTCACCGTGCGCTGGTTGAAGGCACAGTCCTGAGGCTGGGAATCTCTTCCAGGAAGCTTTGCTAAAAACTGCCTGCTGTGAAGGTCAAGCCATCCACTAAGCCCTGAAGCTTAGAAAAGCAGATTGCTTGGGGGTGTGGGGTGGGTGAATGCTTTCCTGCAGCCCGTGCCTCCTACGGGGTGTAGCTGCTACACCACCACGGGGCCCGTGACCTCTGTCCCCTCCTTGCCTTTTGCTCACTTATCCCATATGCCCCGTTGTGGCTGTCTGGTCACTGCCTGATTGTGCTTGGGAATCTCCCCTTTCCGTGCCCGGTTATGCCTTGTGTGTGTGTGTTTTATAGGTATAGTAATGAATTGGGCAGGTCAGAAAAAGAATATATATTTGCAAGAAGATTCTATTCAGAGGAATACAATGGAAAGATTTCACAAGCCCTACAAATCCCACAACTCAGTCATTTGAAGAAGAGAATCCTTTGCTACTTTTAGGTGTAGAAAAATCTGCCCTTGGTAGAGAGCACAAGATCTGAAATGGAGCGGAGAGATTGTAATTCCAAGTGTTTCTTTCAGATCGTTAGATTGCTTTTGGACCGCGGCTGTGATGTGAGCCTAAGTGACAAGCAGGGCCGGACGCCCCTCATGGTGGCCGCTTGTGAAGGACACTTGAGCACCGTGGAATTCCTCCTTTCCAAAGGTAGCAGCATGGGAGCCCCTGCAGAGGTTTCTTTCAGATGGACAAAGCCAAGAGCTTTGCCAGACCCATGACCGTACTTTTTGATTCGAGTTTGAAAAGTCCCTTTGTTAGTCATTTTCTGATTTACAGGCAAGTACCAGAATAGGTCGTGAGTATACACACCCATTACTCAGCGTCAACAGTGGTGATCGCTTTGCCAGCCCCAGAGTTCCTAGGCTTGCTTGCCGCGGGTCTGCACAGGGATTGGCGGATGTGAATCCGTTTGCTTCTGGGCTTTGTCTCACCGACTTCATGTTCTGTGAACCGGCTGTTTTTTCAGGTGCTGCCCTTTCTTCTCTGGACAAAGAAGGTCTTTCGGCCTTAAGCTGGGCTTGTCTGAAAGGTCACAGAGCGGTGGTCCGGTTTCTGGTTGAGGAGGGAGCCGAGATAGACCAGACGGACAAGAATGGCCGCACACCCTTGGACCTGGCCGCCTTCTACGGTGACGCAGAGACCGTAGGTACCGCGGGTGGTCGCGCTGTCCACCTGCGCGCCGGGCCTGTGCCACGGAGAAAGTCGGGGGCCCAACCATTCTCGGGGGGGGGGGGTGTGTGAGGCCGTGTCTGAGTGTGGTCAGTGTGTATGAGTGTGCTGTGTTGTAGCTTTCATTTTTTTCTCTTATTGTGTGGCATGCAGTCTGTTCTAGAACTTTAGTATAAAGATTTTAATAGACTCTCAAAACCTTCAAGATACACGATTACAGACTGTGTCTACAGCAGATGCATAATTGACTATGTATACACACTTGCATATGTAGTTTTATTTTCTTCTAGGAACCCATATAAATAGGATTCCTGTACAGAACATTTAAAAATCGCTTTTTCCATGTATATAGGAAATTACTAGTGAAATAATTATCTGGCTTGTTTTTAAATGGATGTGGCATTGTCTAGAAATAATATAAAATGCCCAGGGCACTATGTTTATCTCTTTGCCACATGCCCGAGTCTAAATGAGATAAGAAGGGGCAAAACGTGAATAAGCTAAGAACCACAAAATGTCTTTCCGTGCAGAAACCATGCCTTTGTCGGGTTCCATGTCCCAGGCTCCAAGCAGGTGTTAAAGGAATGTTCGACTATTGAGAGTTACCATTTTTGAAGAATTAAATATGTTTCATGTGCAGATTAGCCAGGGAAGACAGATCCTGCATTGTTGGAAGCCGGGGAACTTGGAGCAGAAGTTGTCCTCACCCTGCACGTCTGAGCCTTGATGCTTTTAGAAGGCAGTGATATTGGGTTTAAATGGTCTCAATTTCCTGGACGGTGTAAATTGTACTTAACTTAATGTCGATTTTCAAAAACAGCTGTGTAACTAAACCTCACATATCTATACTTTTATTTTTCAGCATATATTACCTTACCAGGTCCTAGTGTATCTGCATTAGGGAACAGGGAAGGAGCTTAGCATTCTAGTGTAATTTTTTTTTTTTTTAAAAAAAACACAACATAAAATTTACCATCTTAACCATTTCTAAGAGTTCAATAGTGTTAGTATACTTCAATGTCCACACTTTGTCCTGTAAAACTGAAACTTTGTACCCATTAAAGAAGGCCTCATTTCTCTCCTCCTCCAGTCCCTGAGAGCCACCATATAGGTGGAGTCCTAGAGTATTTGTCCTTTAGTAACTGGTTTATTTCACTTAGCATAATGTCCACAAGGTTCATCCCTGTTGTAGCTTGGTCTGGGATTTCCTTTCTTTCTGAGGCTGAAGAATATTCCATTGTAGGTGCATGTCACATTGTGTTAATCATTTCATCTGTCAGTGAACATTTGGGTTGCTCCCAGCTCTGTTATGAATAGTGCACTTACGAACATGGGCACACAGATATCTTCAAGATCCTGAAAATTCTTCAGAATCTATTTGTATTGTTTTGGATATGTACCCATAAGTGGGATGGCTGGATCAAACGATAGTTCTGTTTTTAATTTTTTGAGGAACCTACATATTGTGTCTAGAGCGGTCACACCATTTTACATTCCCATCAACAATGTACAAGGGTTCCTGTTCCTTCACACCCTCTCCAACACTTTTTCTTTCTTTCTTTCTTTTCTTCTTTCTTTTTCTTTCTTTCTCTTTTTTCTTTCTTTCTCTTTTTTTCTTTCTTTCTTTCTTTCTTTCTTTCTTTCTTTCTTTCTTTTTTCTTTTTCCTTCCTTCCTTCCTTTCTTCCTTCCTTCCTTCTTTCCTTCTCTTTCTCTCTTTCTCTTCCTTCCTTCCTTTTTCCTTTCTTTTTCTTCTTTTTTTTCCTTCCTTCCTTTCGATAGCAGCCATCTTAATGGTAGGAGGTGATATCTTGTAGGTTTCATTTGCATTTCCCTGATGATTGGGATGTTGGACATCTTCTCATATGTTTGTTGGCCATTTATGTCATCTTTTGAGAAATGTCTTCACATCCTTTGCTTTAAAATGGAGCTATTTGGGTTTTTTATTGAGTTGTAGAAACTCTTTATATATTATGGATATTAATCCCTCTAGTGGCATTTTGAACCCCTGGTGGACTAACAGATTCACATGAAAATCTAAGCTGGCTAGAGACTTCTTTTCTAGTGAATAGAACAATTTGAGTAGCCAAAGTGGTTTTTTTTTTTTTTTCACTGTGTTCTGTATGTTCAAGTGAGTGCTTTCATACTACATCAAATCAGTCTATGTACCATGGTCTCGAATCTTGCCTCTTTACATACCCAATAATTGAGGGTCTTTCCTAAGCCTTAAAGTGAGTTATAATTGGGTTTATCTGATTTCAAGCTGCAAGCTTCTCCAGCTTGCTGTACCCAGGCAGTGTGGATCTGAGTGTTTCTGAAGTGCCCATTGCTGTAGCCTGCCAGCTCACTGGAGCTGTTGCAGAAGTCTGCCTCCTAAGTAATTGGAGATGAAAAGATGATTGTGGCATCTCTGTGGCCCGGGAAGTGGATGTGCATGTACTCATCTGTGGTATATGGATGCATGTACCTAACATGTCCCTCCCTGGGAGTGTTCACCCGCCTTCCTCATGCTAATAGAGTGGGTTTTAGCGACAGATTGCAGCTCCTCTGTTTCTTGTCAGCTTTATTTCACATTAGGATCCTTAATGGTCAGAGGTGTAGAGGATCTCAGTAAAGCTAAGACTGCCAGCACCTCCCCAGGATGCAGAGGTGGGTGGGTGTGTGGCACTCTTGCAGCGACCCCTCAGGGCTCTGTCTTTCCCACCACAGGTCCTGTATCTGGTTGAGAAGGGAGCCGTGATCGAGCACGTGGACCACAGCGGCATGCGCCCCTTGGACAGAGCCATTGGTTGTCGAAACACATCTGTAGTGGTTACACTGCTGAGAAAAGGAGCCAAATTAGGTCAGTAAATACCCCGTTTCGGCAGCAGGACGGGGGGTTACCCTCAGATTCTAAAGTATGTCGGGGACCATTAGAGACTTACCTGCTCCCAGATTAAGAAGTAAGAGGTCAGGTGCTTAGAGATTGTGTTTTTTCCCTCCTCTGTAAGGCTCATTTGATCACAGTTGTCCAAAATGCTTAAGTGGTTCATAACATTATCACTGCAGTGTGGGTAGAAAGCAGCAGCCAGTGTTGAAGGACAGTCTAGAATTGTAGGCCATTAGGAGTGCCCGGGAGCAGGCAGGGAGCCGTGCCGTTCATCTCTTGGGGGGGTCGGGGGGCAGGTATCATGGTTAAGAATGTGGGTGGCTCTGCTGAGCAGCTGAGTGTGGGAACCACTGTCCCGGAGTCGTCCCAGTTGGGCGGGTAGGGCACTGGCAGCCCCAGCAGTTCTGTGGAGGAAAGGCCACGGGATTTACTGGAAACAGGATGGGGGTCACTTGAGGACCGTGATGGGGCAGGTTGTGTGGGGGGAACCCCTTCTGTGTGTTTGGTTGGAAGTGACCCCCCACTCAGAATGTGTGGGTACGGAGCAACCGGAAGAGGGCTCTCGGCAGGTAGTAATCACCCTGGCATGTTACACAGGAGGAAACCAAGGCACAACTGGGGTGGATAGTTTCCCGAGGGTGCTAAGGCTCGGCAGAGTCCGTGTTTGAGGAGGAGCAGGTGGCTCCCGATGCTGCTCTTTTGAAGCAGCATCTCTGCTGCGCTCAGGAGTGGGCTGTGAGCCGTAGGGACGCGGGCCTGGTGCGGGGGGATGGGCCAGAGCCACCTGAGAACACCCTCCACTCCCCAGCCCCAGGGTTCCCGCAGGAAGCCGAGGAGAGTGCCGGAAGCTGGGTTTAACGGGGGGGGGGGGGGGGGGGGGGGGCATGGCTGCTCCGATGCCTCGGTTCCCAGCGCATCACACGGAGTCGCAGGGGTGTCTGGTCCAGCCTCCCTCCCAGGCGCTTGGTTCAGCGTGAGGCAGATTTGAAGGGAGACCAGCTCCCCGGGGGCCACTCCGTCCGCTCCACTTCACCGTTGTCCGGAGGCTGCAGGACACACTGTGATGCCGTCGGTGACCGTCGCTGCGCTCGGGCTCAGAAGCCGCGACCTCCTTCCGCCGGAGCGCCGCTGCGCCCCTGAATGCGTCTTTGTTTTGCAGGAAATGCCGCCTGGGCGATGGCTACTTCCAAGCCTGACATTCTGATTATACTTTTACAGAAATTGATGGAGGAAGGAAACATGATGTACAAAGTAAGTGGTCCCCCCCCCCCCCCCGACAGCCCACGAGCAGCCCCTCGGCCTGGGGGGGCTGGACTGACCGTCGCCGGGCTCCGGGACGTGCTCCGTGGGGGCCGCTACTTCTGCGGCTGTGACTGAGGCGGCAGCCCTGGTGTGAGGCAGAGCGGCCTCAGGCGTGAGAGCCTTCGTGCACCGGGTCCTAGACACACAGGAAAGGGACGCTCAGAAGACATTTCAGGAGAAAAGAATCGTTAAGTCTCCTACGACTATTAACTTAGTTTTAACATCCTTTAGCGTCTGCAATTTGGAACAGTTTCCAGAGCTTTCTTTACTTAAGATGACCAAGGAATATATAATACTCAGGAGACTTTTTTTCACCATTTTCTCTTAGAAATGGAAATACGTGGGTGCCTGGGTAGCTCCGTCGGTTAAGCGTCTGCCTTCAGCTCAGGTCATGATCCCCAGGTCCTGGGATCGACCCCACATTGGGCTCCCTGCTCAGTGGCAAGCCTGTCTCTCCTTCTCCCTCTGCTGCTCCCCCTGCTTGTGGTTTCACTCTTTCTTTCTCTCACTCTCTCAGATAAATAAAATCTTAAAAAAAAAAGAAGAAGAAATGGAAATAAGTTTAAGGACTAATAAATTAACTTGAAAGTAAAAATTTTAATGTTTAAAGTGAAATTTCCAAAATAAGACCTTATAGGTCAGAGGTCAGCAGACCTTTCTTGTAAAAGGCCGGACAGCAGACATGTTAGGCTTTGCCATGTGGTCTCTGTCACAGCTCCCTCGCTTTGCTGTGGGGGCATGAAAGCAGCCACAGGTGACACATGAACGAATGGATGTGGCCGTGTCCCAGTCAGACTGCATTGTACAAACGGGTGGCAGGCCAGGGTTGGCGGGAAGCTGTAGTTCACTCACTCCTGGTTTAGGGAGATGCTCAGGCCATTTATGTGTGAATCACTGTTCTTTCCAGGTCTGTGATGAGACAATCAGGTGTTTTGAAAACAAAACACAAAACCTGCATTATGACCACTTTAATTAATCCTTTCACAGGAGGCTGTTGCACGGGCTACATTTAGTTTTTTCCTTTTCTTTTTTAAATAATAACAGATAAGTAGGCATCCAGCACAACCCAGCAGGGTTTCTGGCTCAGAATCCTTTTGAAATTGAGTTCAGAATGTGTGTTGTTGTGTCTTTGAAGTGGTTTTAATATGAATTTTGGTAGGCAATTATGTTAGAAATATCAGGCCATTTTCAACAGACTTCATACCTGCTGTGCCATGGAACTGACTGAGCAAATGGATTTCTTTAGCCTTGAAAATGACGTGCAGTGCTGTTCGATTTTTAAAGCCTGTACTTTAGTTCCTCTTCAGAGAAAAATTATGATTCTACAGCGAGCTCTAGGTTTCTCCACAAGACCGTACTTGCCTTGAGAACCGTATCATTTCTTCATCTGATTTCTAGTACACTTAGCATTAAAGCATCTGTAGGAGACATCATTTCTGAAATGGTTTTCAAAAATATATAACAGGGACACTGTGTGACTCAGATCAGCTGCCGACTCTTGATTTTGGCTCAGGTCATGATCTCAGGGTCTGGAGATGGGCTGGAGTTGGGCTCCGTGCTGGGCGTGGAGCCTGCTTAAAATTCTCTCTCCCTTTCTCCTCATCCCCACTGCTCCTGTGCACTCTTTCTCTCTCTCTCAAAAAAATAAAAAATATATATATTCAGGATAATCTGTTGTATTAATAGTTATCAATTTGGCAACGTATGGGCTGATTCCTAGAAAACCTGTGTTCCTTCCCGAAGCCTGAGGCCAGAAGCGGCGCCGACAGTGAGCCGGTGCTGGGCAGCCGGGGAGCACGTGGTGGCCCCGGGGGAGCCTGTTCCTCCTGGAACATCAGGAAAAGGCTCAATTTCTTTGCTTTCTGGTTCCTAGAAGGGGAAGATGAAAGAGGCGGCCCAGAGGTACCAGTACGCCTTAAGGAAGTTTCCTCGAGAAGGATTCGGAGAGGACATGCGACCGTTCAACGAACTCAGAGTTTCCCTCTATCTCAACTTGTCTCGCTGCCGGAGAAAAACAAACGTAAGCTCTGAGCCGCGGCCTGTGCCTGGAGTGTTTGCCGGTGGCCTAGGCCAGCCCGCCCCGCGCTCCCGGGGCTCCCGGGGCATCTGTGGGCACATCCTCTGGACACGGCCTGCGGGGAGCCGCTCCTCTCGGGGGCGGGCGGGGGACCGCGGCCAGGACGCGCCTCCCGAGGCGCTGGGAGATGCGCTGGGGGGGCCGGTCCCGGCCTGGGCCGGGCGAGCAGAAGGCCAGGGCGCCCAGGCTGAGCACGCGCCTTCCCGTCCGCCTGGCGTGCGGTGTGTGTGCTCAGAGGCGGTGCCCGCAACCGGGTAATCGGTGACTCGATTCAGTACTTCCTCCTCCTGCGGCCCCCCCCCCCCCCCCCCCCGGCCTCCCCGCCGCGCTGCTGCCCTGTTCCCCGCCCTGAGCCGTCAGTTTCCGTTTCTCTACTGGATTCTTCTCAAGATACTGTTAAGGTTTAGCTGCCTCCTGGCCGGGGAACGAGGTTTGAGCGTGCCGCTCCGTGCGGGCCCTGACCGTGTTCATTGTCCACGCTAGGACTTCGGCATGGCCGAAGAGTTTGCTTCCAAGGCCCTCGAGTTGAAGCCGCAGTCCTACGAAGCCTTCTACGCCAGGGCGAGGGCCAAGAGAAACAGCAGGTAGGTCGGCGTGGGCCGCGCCCTGAGGCCTCTGCCCTGTGCGGCGGCCGGGTGGGTTTCCGGTCGACCCCGGGTTGACCTCGGGCTGGCCGCGGGTTGACCTCGGGGCTCCCGGGCTCCCCAGCGGCCTCCGGCGCCTCCCGGGCCTCCCACCCCCTTGGTACTGAATCGGAGCTTCCGCGGGCCGGGCCTGGGCGTCGTCAGCAACGGCTGCGCTGGCTTCGGTCGCGACGTCCCGGGAGCGGCGCCCGCCCCGCGCTCCGGGGTCCCTCCGCGCCCCCTCCGCGCCCCCTCCGCGCCCGCGGAGCCCGGCGGCCCGACGCTGGAGCGGGCGGCGGGGGTGCCGCGAGGGTGCCGGCCCCGCTGCTCCCGGGCGGGAAGCGCGCCCACCGGGGCGCCGCGGGGCCGGGGCGGCGAGTGACCGCGTCTCCTCTGCCCCGAAGGCAGTTCGCGGCGGCGCTGGCGGACCTGCGGGAGGCCGGGAGGCTGTGCCCCGCCAACCAGGAGGTGCGGCGGCTGCTGGCGCGCGTGGAGGAGGAGTGCAGGCAGCTGCACCGGGGCCCGCCGCACAGGCCGCAGGGCGCGCCCGCCGCTGCCCCCGGGTCGGACGAGGACGAGGCCGAGGACGAGGACGAGGCGGCCGGCGGGCCCGCGGCCCTGGACCTGGAGGACGCGGACGCGGAGGCCGCGTGGGCCCCGGGGGCGGCCCCGCCCTTGGCGCCCAGGCCCCAGGCGCCGCCGCGCGGCCCGTCGCCCTACATCCGGAACCTGCAGGAGGGGCTGCAGCGCAGGGTCAGGCCCGCGTCCCCGCGCGGCCGGCAGGGAGGCGGGCGGGCCCCGCGGGAGGCCGTGGCGCCGCCGGGGCTGGTGCCGCCGGCCGCCCGCCAGGCGCAGATCGTCAGGACCGGGCCGCACGCGGGCGCCAGGGCGCAGGCGGGCACACAGCACGCTCCCGCCGGCAGCGGCCCGGGCCACGGCCCCGCGGGGGCTGCCGAGCGGCTCCTGCCGCCCGCGCCCGCCACCCCGGGGAGCCACGCGGCCTCGGTCGCCAGCTCGGGCTCCTCCGGCTCTCCGTCCGGCAGCGTCAAGATGTGCGGCTCCACCAGCAGCTTGGCCTCCAGCGGCGGCCTCCCCGACGGCCCCGAGGCCCGGGTCCGAGAGCCTGCGGCCGGCCCCCCGCCCCCCGCGCCCTTGCCCGCGCCCTTGCCCGCGCCCTTGCCCGCCGAGCCCCGGCCGCGCAGCACGCCGTTCATGGGCGTCACGGACAAGACGGCGAGGTCGCAGCCCCAGGGCCACCCCGCGCCGCGCGCCCGGGCCCTGCCCGACGGGCTCCTGGCCCTCGCGGCCTCCGCCGCCGGCCTGCAGGCCCTGAGCGCCGGCCCCCCGGGCGGCGGCGTCCGCGGCTTGGCGCAGGGCCGGGAGCCGGAGGAGCAGCCCCGCCCGGGGCCGGCGCGCCGCGCGGACAGCCGGGCCCCCAAGGCGGCCCCCGCCCCGTGCCAGGAAGGCGCCTGCGCGCAGCCGCGCGTCGGCAGCGAGGCCCGCAGGAGCCACCTCCCCTCGGCGAAGCCCAAGCGGTCGTTCATAGAGTCCAACGTGTGAGCCGGCCGCGCGGGCTGGGCTCCCTGTGGCGGCTCAAAGTCTTCATGAGAGAGACGACCTCTCAGCCATGGTTTTTTTTTTTTTTTTTTTTTTCCCCTGGGGGGGGGGCGTGGATCAGATGTCCTGGATCTGTCTAAAATGTGGAATAAAATTTCTCTGACAAAGAGTCACCACGAATAACGCCGAGTAGAATTAAAAGCTGTCGTCAGTCCTGCCTGCGGAGCCAGACATTAAGACCGCCGCCAAGACGCGAGCTCCCGCTTCTCTGTCCCGAGCTGGTTTGGTCCCGTCCCGTCCCCGCCGCCCGCCGCCGCCGCCGCCGCCGCCGCCGCCGCCAGCCTTTGCCGTGCGGTAGGAGCGTGATACTCCCTAGAGGACGGGCGGGCGGGCCTGCCCCGTGACGGGCCTCACTCCCGGCGCGGCCTCCGGATGATGGACCTTGGAGTAGACGGAACTTCCAAGTCTCCGTTCCATTGAGTCAAATCCCAATTTTTATACATAAATATATATAAAAGTTTCTAGCTGAATGTGTGACTGTAAAGTTATATAGGTGATTTTTTTTTCGTTTCTTTTGTTTTGTTTGAGCAGAAGACGAGGACATCCAAATATTGTTCCCTTTGTAGTAGTTTCCCTAAGAGGATTAAACGTTTAGTTCCATGTTATGGTTCTTCTCAAAGATATTTTTATAGCGCCTTTTTTGGAACTATATTCCCACTTCATGGTGTTTTTAATGTTTGGAAACCGTGTAAGCCGTTTGGGATCATGATTGATGGTCAGGTTGGATTTAGGCTAAAACACTAAGAACGCCGCACTCTTTCAAATAAGCTCTCAACTGGTTCCCAAACTGCTTTTACCAATGGTGTCGCACTCCCGGAACAAGCGTTCCAAGGTCCTTTAAGGACAGTATTTGATTTGGACAGTTAAGGTATGGTTGGTTGTTGCTTTTGTTTCATTACACAATCATTACTTTATAGTCACGTGTTGTACATATTAAATAGCCAACTTGCATTCAGACTTTGTAAATATGACTCTTTCAGATACTTAATCATAAAAAAAAGCTCATGTATTTGCATGTTCTTTGTAAGCTTCATTCATGCTGGTTATTGCACTGAACGATGTATTATTACGGCATGTTAACAGTATACCAGTAACAGCACTTTATCTCGTTTATATGAACACCTTTGAGGTGCTACTTAAGTCCAAACTGATGTATTATTCATCTGTAAAGATAAGGTACAGGAATGAACCTTGGTTTAAAGGTATTTTTATATGAAAATGGTGCGCTATTGGAGGATGTTAAAATGCTAAATTGAGAGAGGTGGGAGTATAGTTGTTTTATATGTTGGGATGTGAAATTTATTTTCTAGAATTGGGGAGAAGGAAGTTCTATATTTACAGAATGTTTTAAAAACGAATAGTTGTCATGAAGTTCTTGTAAGCATCATCATGGTTTTGTACGAATAGGAAATCTGGTGTCATTCTTCAACCTTTGTTTCTGAGTGTGTACAGCATACTTTGTACAGCTTTATCTTTTTTTTTTTTTTTAGGCTTTCTGTGAGTTTTGCTAGAAGTACTATGGCTTATTTATTGTTCATTGTTTTCTTTAATATTTGTGAAAGTCTTACTCTTTTGTTATGTAGTTTTGTTTCTGCACAACTACTGTACTTTTCCATATGGAATAAAGAATATTAATAGAATTTGTTTTGTATTAAATGAAACAATGGATAGAGACTGTCCTGATGACAGTGATCTGCCTTCGGTTACTCCTGGGTGATCTTGTTACCCTAAAGAAAATAGTGAAAAGTCTATTTTTATAGTAATAATATCAGACACATGTTTAACTTCATTTGATAATTTCAGAAAAAGTGTGAAGCTTCGAGATACCCCAGAACATTCAATGCTTAGCATTAGTCCTTTGTGCCTGAAACAGAATTCCTGTTCCAGAAATCTTGGGGTCTGTTTTTCCTGGAAACAGGTACCTTCAGTAGTATAACTCTTTAAAAACACTTTGGCAATTCACCGAGCACTGTGTTGATTATAAACGTTCTTCACATTTGTATAGTCTTTCAGTTAAAAGGGTGCATACATTATACCCACATATCCGTCTCCGAGTAGTGGGAATGCAAGTGAACATCAAACTGGGCTGTACTGTGATAAAACCTTGATGTGGAATCCTGAGTCAGGATATCCCTCCCTTAAGACTCCTGCAGGTTCCTGTCTGGGGATGGCTGTAAGGCTGACTAAAGTATCTGCAGTCCTCCTTTAAAGCCATATATTAAACTTAGGGGTTAAAAACACAAAAACAGGTGGGAGGGAAAAGTGTTAAAGATATTTGGTCACTACCCCAGAAAGAAGTGAAGTCTTCTTGGGAAGCTACTGGTCAGTCAGTCCTGAGGATGGGGCTGTGGGCAGGTGAGCACTGCTCCCATGTAGTCTTCAGTGAATGGCTCGGCCTCGGGGGTGCAGTACAGAGGCCTTGTGGGGCCCCTTCCTGTGGGCGGTTTTGGATTTGGTTTGTTTGCTTGTATGTCTGGGGAGGAGGAGTTGTCTGGTTTTGGATTTGCATTCATAAACGGAAGCATTTCACTTGAGTAGACTACTGGCATCTTAGTTTTCAACCATTTTAACAAGAAACTATGGTGAAATGAAAAAGTCGCCACCTTTTACACATTTAAAAGATAACCAATCTTTTATTGTGTTTTCTATCAGTGATGTCAATGATTTTTAGTAATTTTGATGTAAAAAACCAATCCACCTCCTTTGGAAAATAAGTCTATCAAAAAAAAATATATGGAGGGCTTTTTGTTAAGATTATGTTAACATACTTTCTCTGTAGAACACAATAGAAAAACACCTAGGACCTGTTCTAGCCTTCTTTTTGTCTTCACTTGAATGTAAGAAGCTTGGGTGGTATGAAAAAAAAATCCTCTTGGAGAAAAATCTACAAAAAATCAGGATCGTAAATCCCAACTAGGACACAAAGGAAATAAAATTCAGTAATCCATTAGGATGATGGAAATTTTACAAAGCAACTGTAAAGAAAAGCCATTTTGAGATTTTTGTGGTAGTTGGCTTTCCACAATTCTGTGACATAGAGCAAATTAATTATAAATCTGTAAAATATAGAAACAGACCAAATTATACATAATCACATCACTTTTTCCTCTCATTTCTGAATTTTTGAACAGCTCAGATGAGGCTTTTGACCCCTGACTGCTCTTACAGTTGAGTTCCATCTAACATGCCTTCCTACTCATGCCTTCCATTCTGGGACACGGGTTAGGGCAGGTACGTAAAGTCAATGCCACCTCAACTTTGTGACCTTTAAGTTTTCTGCAAGGGAATGCTTATCAGGGTGTTGTATTAAAAGCCAGCCTATTGTGTACAAACGTATAGTTACCCTAGCTTAGAATGTTGTATGATAACTTCTGAACTCTAAAAGGAGGCTGGTTTGCTACCTTATTTCAGCAAAGTCAACTTGACATAATTTATTCCACCTAACTTTGTACGCAGGTTTAGACTTTGGGGAAAAATCGTTACCACCTTGCAAATTGAGAATCCAATGAAACTGCTCATTAAACATTTCAAAATTATTTTTTCAATTTAGTCATAAACAATACTACAGCTATTCGGTTTCAAATTCCCTTTGAATTCCAAAGAGTTACCAAATTAATGACCATTAACTAGGATTTCAATGTTATGTTCAGATTAATCTTTAGTTGAAATGAAAATATGACCTATATCTAGTAAGAATAAATTTGAGCATTGCAATTTTATGTCAAAGTGAAACTTTATTTCTCTACAGGTTAAAATTTCTTTCACTAATACAAAAAGGCTATTGTAGTAAAACCAGAAAAGTCAGGTATGTTATTTGGTCCGTATGATTTGAAGAAAGTTTTTAATAGGTAACTAAATTCATATTTCTCCTGTCTTGCTTTTAATATCTGATTACCATTTACCTTTAAATCATTCAAAGGAGCTCAATGAAGAATATAAACAATATAAACAGTTTATTTTTGATGTGTCTCTAGCCAGCGGCTGATGGCCATTTTTAGAGTCCGGTTTGGTGTAAGTACCATTGAGGGAAGAATGAGATTCGTCATGGGACTTGTACGTTTCTTTTTGCTGATCCAGTTTTCCATTGCTTCCTTTTCATATGAATAGCCATCTAAAAGAAAACCACACAAATTATTTGCAGTGTAGGATAGGGAGGCTGGGATTACTAAAATGAGTGGAGGATACCAACTCCACTGCCAAGGCCTGTATTGTGGTTTCAGTGGTAGTGCTGTATCCCTACTCCTAAAATACTGCTGCCATAACATCCTCTGTTCTGCCTTCTAAGATCCATGGAGACTGCACAAATTACCCGGAACAGTGACCGTGTTTTACTGTGCTCCAAATTCAGATGTAGCAGAAAGGAAAACAGGAAAAGAGCCAGCTAGAGAGGAGAGTGGTCGTGAGATAAACTGCCTTATTAGAGCTGTTAGCTACGTGTGGACAGCATATGGCTAAAGATAAAAGGGCCTTAGCAAAACTCCTGACCTACTGAAAACCCAGGGAAACAGATACCAAGGGATTAGAGAGCTCATCCCATGACGGAGTTGATAGTAAAGGGATTTATGATTTAAAAAATTCTCTGGGCTGTTAATACATGTTTGTGCAAAATACTTTGCATATATAAAGATTGGAATTTGTGCTTCACTACTTTATTTTACTCTTAGCTCATTTTACTCTTAGCTCGTTCTCTTTAAACTGAAAATCTTAGTTCCTGATTATATTTACACATTTATTTGCTTTAACTTACAACGCACACAACAGTTTCAAACTAACAATGTCCTTATATCACTAACATAGGACCATCAAAGAAATAGAAGATTTCTTTCTGGCTCTTTGTGTCACCAAGAATAGATCCACTAGGATTTTCTAACTGAAATACTGTGTTTGAAAATCACTTGTGGGGGGAAAATTCTTCCATTTGGTTAGGTCACCAATTTGACATACAATTGTTTTCATTTGCTTCCCTTTTTTATCCTCTCAATTTTTAGATTGGTTTTGCATGATTTAATTCTGTAAAACATTAAAGTGATTTCAAAGTAAAAAACGTAAAACAAGGTACATTCGGAGGAGTCCCTCCTATCTCCCAACACCTGTTCCCCCCCCCATCCCATACAGGTAACCGTGCAGTTTTGTTTGTCCTTCTGTGTCTTCTTGAAAATATAAGCCCGTAGGTGTGTACACACTGTGCACGTATATTCTCACATAGGAACTCGCATCCTGTACAGTTTTGTACCCGCTTTAACTAGATCCCTTACCTTTTTATTCCGCCCCGCCCAGCCCCGCCCCCGCCGCCCCAGTCCAATGCCTGGCTGTATAGAAGGCTACCTCGGTGGCTTCCAGACTTCGCCTCTTACAAATAGTGTTGCTCTTATTTTGGGGGGGATTCCAGAAGTAGGACTGCTGCGTTGAAGAGTACATAACGTTGCTAGATAAGCCAATACTTCCGTAGGAATCCTACCATTTTAACTCCTGTTTAGCTCTGTGGAGGAGTGTTTTTTTTTTCCTCCTCAAGAGCTTCAAGAGAACACGTTGTTCAACTGGATTTTTCACCAGTCTCTCATGAACAGTGCTATGACAGGTAACTTTATTTTTTCTTTTTGTATGTTTAAGAGCCATTTGCTTTTCTTTTTCCTGTGAACTGTTAATATTTTTGGCCCCTTTTAATTTAGGAAGGTTCCATCCTTTTAAGACATTGAAATATAATTGACATGCTCGTTTCAAATGTACAACATAATTCTTCACTATATTGTGAAATGATCACAATAGGTCTCAGAAAGCTCCATCTTCACATATAATTACGAATTTTTCCTTTTTGTTGTGATGGGAGACTTGTAAGAATTCTGTTAGGAGCAGAGTGGACAGGGAGGTACAGGCTTCCGGTTCAGGAATGAATAAGTCACAGGAGGAAAGGGACAGCACAGGGAATAGTCACTGGTACTCTAACAGTGCTACCTGGACACAGGGCAGCTGCATTTTGTTGAGTCACTGTGTTGTGTGCTTCAAACTTACTGTGTCAATTAGATTTCAAATTTAAAAAAAAATTTTTTTAAAGATTTTATTTATTTATACAGGCAGAGGGAGAAGCAGGCTCCATGCAGGGAGTCCGAAGTGGGACTTCACCCTGGGCTGAAGGCAGGCGCTCAACTGCTGAGCCACCCAGGGATCCCCTCAAATTTTTAAAATTTTAAATAGATTTTATTTATTTATTCAAGAGAGACAGAGAGGCAGAGATACAGGCAGAGGGAGAAGCAGTCACTGTGCTGTACACTATATCTCCAGGACTAATTGTAGAACTGGAAGTTTTTATCTATTAACTACCTTTACACTTTGGCCCATATCCCACCCCCTGCCTCTGGCAACCAGCAGTCTGTTCTCTGTATCCATGAGTTGAGTGTATGGTTTTAGATTTCACGTGTAAGTGAGATCATAGGGTATTTATCTTTCTCGGACTTATTTTACCTAGCACAGTGCCTTCAGGGTCTATCCACGGTGGCACGAATGGCAGGATTCCTTTTTTTTTTTTTAATTTATTCATTTTTTAAATTTATTCATGAGAGACGCCTCAGAGAGAGGCAGAGAGAGAGGCAGAGACACAGGCAGAGGGAGAAGCAGGCTCCCTATGGGGAGCCCGGTAGGAGACTCGACGATCCCTGAGCCAAAGGCAGATGCTCAAGGGCTGAGCCACCCAGGCGTCCCTGGATTTCCATTTTTATGGCTGAATCATATTCCGTTGTGCACATACACATTATCTTTATACGTTCATCCATTGATGGACACTTGGGTTATTTACATGTCTTGGCTATTATAAATACTGGCAATGAATGTGGGGGTACAGGTATCTTTTCAAGTTGTTAGTGATTTTGCTTCCTTTGAATACCCATCCAGAAATGGAATTGCTGGATAACAAGGTAGTTCTATTTTTAATTTTTTGGAGGAATCTCCATATTTTCCATAGTGGTTGCACCATTTTACATTCCTACAAAACAGTGCGTAAAGGTTCCTTTTTCTCCATATCGTCACCAACATTTATTTGCTTTTTGATAACCATTTCTAAGTTATGAGGTGACCTCATTGTGGTTTTATGGTCCCCTGATGATTAGTAATGTTGATCATCTTTTCGTGTACTTGTGCATCTGTATGTCATCTGTGGAAAAATGTACATTCAGATCCTCTCCATCCTTTTTTCCCCTACTAAATAATAGTTCTTTATATATTTGGGACATTAACCCTTATCAGATACGTGATTTGCAAATATTCTCTCCCATTTCATAGGCTGCCTTTTCAATTTGCTGATGGTTTTTTTTTTTTTTTAATTTTATGATAGTCACAGAGAGAGAGAGAGAGAGAGAGAGAGAGAGAGAGAGAGAGAGAGAGGCAGAGACACAGGCAGAGGGAGAAGCAGGCTCCATGCGCCGGGAGCCTGACGTGGGATTCGATCCCGGGTCTCCAGGATCGCGCCCTGGGCCAAAGGCAGGCGCCAAACCGCTGCGCCACCGAGGGATCCCTTGCTGATGGTTTCTTTTGCCATGCAGAAGCTTTTTAGTTTGATGTAGTCCCACTTATTTTTGCTTTTGTTCTTTTGCTTTTACTGTTATATCAAAAAACTCATTATCAAGACAGATGTCAAGGGGCTTATCACCTATGTTTTCTTCTGAGAGTTTTTTGGTTTCATGTCTTTACATGTCTGTAACCTGTTCTGAGTTAATTTTTGTATATGGTGTGAAACAGTGGTCCCATTTCATGTTTTTGCATATTGGCTGTTGTATTCCAAGCACCACTTACTGAAGAGGCTGTCCTCTCCCCATTGTATATTCCTGGTTCCCTTGTTGTAGATTGATCATATTCTATGTGAGGGTTTACTTCTGGGCTCTATGTTCTGTTTGTCTATGTTACCTGTTTTTATGCCAAAACCATACTGTTTTGAAACTATACCTTTGTAATACAGTTTGAAATCAGGAATTGTGATGCCTCCAGCTTTTTTTCTTAGGATTGCTCTGGCTATTCAGGGTCTTCTGTGATTCCATACAAATTTTAGCACTGTTTGCTCTATTTTTTGTGAAAAATGCCATTGAGATTTTGAAAGATATTGCACTGAATCCAGAGATCGCTTCTGGTAGTATGCATATTTTAACAGTATGCTTTCAATCCATGTCTTTCCACTTCTTTGTGTATTCTTCAGTTTCTTAATGTTTTCTAGTTTTCAATGTACAGGTTTTTTTTTTTTTTACCTCCTTGGTTAAATTTATTCCTATATATTTTCTTTTTGATGCAGTTCTCAATAATTTCTCTGAGAGCTTGTTTCTAATATACAGAAGGCAATAAATTTCTGTGTATATATTTTTGTATCCTGCAACTTTACTGAATTTGTTGACTAGTTTTAACAGTTTTCTTGTGGAGTCTATAGTTTTCCATATATAAAAACATGTCATCTGCAAATAGAGATAGTTTTACTTCTTCCTTTCCAACTTGGATGCCTTTTACTTTTTTTTTTTTTTTTTTTTCCTAACTCCTCTGGCTAGGACATCCAATACTATGTTGAGTAAAAGTGGTAGAGTGGGCTCTCTTATCTTGTTCCTGATCTTGGCGGAAAAGATAGCAGCTTTTCACTGCTAACATTGATGTTAGCGGCAGGCTGGTCATATACAGTCTTTTATTATGTTGAGGTACGTTACCTCTATACCCATTTTGTTGAGAGCTTTTATGATAAACAGATGTTGAATTTTGTCAAAGGCTTTTTGTACATCAATTGAGATAGGATTATTATCCTTCATTTTATTAATGTGTCTCACATTGATTTACAGAAGTTGAGCCATCCTTGCATCCCTGGAATAAGTCCCACTTGATCACTGTGTGTAATCCTTTTAATATACTGATTTTGATTTGCTAAAATTGAGGAATTTTACATCTATGTTCATTAGGGATATTGGTCCATAATTTTCTTGTAGCGTCCTTGTCTGTGTTATATCAAAAAACTTTTATTATCAGGGTGATGCTGCCCTTGTAAAATGAGTTTGGAAGTTCTCCTCTTTTTGTAAGTTTGAGGATTGGTATTTCTTGAATATTTTTTATATCTTTGGAAAAAAAACACTTCATCAGTTTTTCACATATTTC